CGGAAAGGAGACAACCTAAGCTATCTGCTGAGAGGCATATTGAGTCCATGGAAGATTTATTTTTTTCCCACAAGTTTTTGGAAAATGACAAAAACTTTTTTTCTTCTTTTTTTTACACAAAGTTGTCATTTAAATGATATATTTCACACACAAGCCATGGGTATATGTGGAATTACACCCCAAAATACATTCTGCTACTTCTGAGTATGGGGATACCACATGTGTGAGACTCTTTGGGAGCCTAGCCACATACAGGAGCCTGAAATCCAATGGCCACTTTGAAAGCCTGAAGATGCATAACTTAATTTCACTTCCTCACTACCTGTCACAGTTTCGGAGGCCCTGAAACGCAAGGATAGCACAAAACCCCCCAAAATGACCCCTTTTTGGAAAGTAGACACCCCAAGGAATTTAAAAAGAGGCATGGTGAGTATTTTGCAGATCTCAGTTTTTTCTCACAAGGTTTTGAATATAAAAAAAGAAAAAATATGTTTTTGTTTTCTTTCTTCATTTTCCAAAAACTTGTGGAAACAGACGAGATCTGCAAAATACTCACCATTCTTCTTATCAAATTCCTTGGGGTGTCCACTTTCCAAAAAGGGGTCATGGGGGGGGGGGGGGTTTGGTGCTATCCTGGCATTTCAGGGCCTCCGAAACTGTGATAGGTAGTCAGGAAGTGTAATGAGGAAATAAAGCCCTTTAAAAGCCTGAAGGTGCTTATTGGATTTTGGGGTCCTGTACTTGGCTAGACTGCCAAAACGTCTCTCACATGTGGTACCCCCCATACTCGGGAGAAGTAGCAGAATGTATTTTGGGGAGTAATTCCACGTATACCCATGGCATGTGTGAGCAATAAATCATTTAAGAATCATTTATAAATCATATAATAATAATAATAATGTGACAATTTTGTGTAAAAAAACATTTCCAAAAATAAATTCTTCTATTGACTCAACATGCCTCTAAGCAAATATTTTGGGGTATCTACTTTCCAAAAAGGGCTCGTTTTGGGGGGTGGAGTAATTTTTATGCCCCGCATTAGAAGTTTATGCCACACATCATTCACTCTTCTAACCTCCTGAGAACACAAGACTTTTCTGAAACTTTTTGTTCACATGAAAAAAAAAAAAAAAAAAAAAAAAAATCAGTATTTTTTGCTAGGAAATTACTTTGAACCCCCAAACATTATATTTTTTTAAAGCAAACACCCTAGTGAATAAAATGGTGGGTGCTGAAATTTTTGATGTCACATAATACTCACGCAGCGATTTTTCAAACGCAAATTTTTTTAATAAAAATATACTTTCTTTTACTTTAAATGCACAAAAACACAATATGTTGGACAATTATTTGGTGAATTATAAAAGATGATTGTATGCCGAGCACATAGATACCATACATGACATGCTTTAAAACTGCACATGCCCTATGCAATGGTGGCAAACTGCATACATTTTTAATATTCATAGGCAACGCTGTAAAAGTCTTTACAAGCTACCATTTTAGATTTCTGCTTTGTATGGCTCTGCTATGCAGAGCCATACAAAGCAGTGTGCAGGAGCTGACAGGGGGAGAGATCTGTGCTGATTATACACAGGTCTCTCCCCTGTCGGTAATACTCAGAGATCGCCGGATGCCGGCAGGAATCACTGGTTGGGACCCGGTGATTGACAGCCAAGGCTGCGAATGGTGGCATGGATCAGGCCTACCCAGAACTGCAAAATCACACATATACACACACACACACAAATGATTTTGCGCATCCCTGCCACCCTGTAGAAGTATTTTTGCTATATAGGGCGGCGTGGAGGCAGTTAACCTCACCTAAACACAGCAGCTCCTAACCTCTGCTAAAAGCCTATGTGTACATGAACACAAGCTTTTATGGAGTTGAGTTAGGAACTTTGGCAAAAAAAAATGCCAAAAGCTGGTAAACTGGAAGCCTTCCAATGACTTGAATATGCTCTGCCCAGGTGTGAATGCAGGGACACCAGCCAATGCAGGGACACCAGCCAGTGCAGGGACACCAGCCAGTGCCCACACCTAGTCTACTCTACTAGCTAAGAGCACGCTGTGGGGCATTTTCTAGCGGTTTTCATAATACAGGTGCCCACTCCCCCACCACCCCTCGCCTCTCCATACACAGGTATAGTATACGGAGTCTGGCATTCATAGAAAGCCCTCATTGGCACACACTCCTCCGCACGGGACAGCATATACATAGACATACCCGTCCTGTGGAGACACGGGCACTACTACACACACTCCTCTTCACACTGTCACACTTCCCTCCACAGAGAGGTCAGAGCGGAGAGCGGGCCTGCCATTGGTGGAAAGCGTGTTCCGGGGTGGAGCTGTGCGGGTCACTGGCATCCCATGTGCCGCTTCCTGCTTGTCCTTCCTTCATGTGTTCCCAGTGACCCAGTGCTCGTCCGACTTTCTGATAGTGGCTGGGACACTGGACGGGGGGGAGACATGGCTTGTCTGTTCAGGAGGGCAATAGCAGAGCAGGTAAGAGCTGTGTCCTTCCTTCTGTGTTCTGCAGAACCTAGACATACGGGCTCAGTCTCCTTGTGTGGGGACATACTAAAAGGAATGACTGAATGGAACGCCCATAGACTTTAATTGCAATGTCCATAGACAATAATTGAACAGGGATGCCCATTGAGAATATGAAAAATTAAATGTGTGGCTTTCTTCCGGGTACTCCGGTTTCCTCCCACACTCCAAAGACATGCTGGGAGGTGAATTGGCTCCTGTCTAAATTGTCCCTAATATGTGTATGTATGAATGTGAGTTAGGGACCTTAGATTGTACGCCCCTTGAGGGTTAGGGACTGATGTGAATGTACAATATATATGTAAAGTGCTGCGTAAATTGATGGCGCTATAATACCAGTGTATATATATAATAATCTGTAATAAAATAAATATGAACTAATTTGTTGACACATTTGAGATACACTTTAACCCTTCCCAGAGGTATTCCCAAAGTAGCAGATTGTAAGATTGACATTATTTAGGATTATTATTGTTTTCTGTGGAATGACAGAAGGGAATGCCCATAGAGTATAATAGGAAGCAAGCTGTGAATTGATTTGCAGACAAATCTGTATCATGTAGCAAATTAAGGTGATTCTAAAGGCTTATTTTTTTTTAAGAAAAAATAACAAACATGTCTATGTTTAGTGGTTTTGCACAGAGCAACCTGCATCCTCCTCTTCTCGGGTCCCCTGCAGGTTCTCCTGGCCCCTCTCTCCTGTCGGGTGCCCCCATGGCAAGCAGCTTGCTATGGGGGTACCCGTTGCTCCGTGTGTCCATTCACACACAGAGCCGTGGCTCGGTCCTGCTCCTTCTCTCTTGTCATGGGCTCATTAGCTGTGATTGACAGAACTGGGAACCAAGGGCTTCCACTTCTGTCGCAGCCAATGAGAAGAGGGAGTCCCAGGATAGCTGAGACTCCAGCGTACATCTCTGGATCGAGAGAGAGCTTAGGTGAGTATTTGGGGCTTTTGCACAGAGAAGGTTTTTTTAAAAAAAAACCTAGAGCCTTTAGAACCACTTTAACCTTTACCACATGGTGTTGCCCAAGTAGAGTAGTAGATTGTGAAATTGAGATTACCTGAGATTATAGCTGTTTCTACAGACTGACAGAAAGGAATGCCAACAGTATATAATAGTCCATCAATACTGCTGCCAGACTCATCCACCTTACCAACCGTTCAGTGTCTGCTACCCCTTTCTGCCAATCCCTCCACTGGCTTCCACTCGCCCAATGGATAAAATACTAACAACAACTTGCAAAGCCATCCACAACTCTGCCCCCAGCTACATCACCAACCTGGTCTCAAAATATCAACCAAACCGCTCTCTTCAATCCTCTCAAGACCGTCCGCTCTCTAGTTCCCATGTCACCTCCTCCCATGCTCGCCTCCAGGACTTCTCCCGAGATTCTGTATCTTATGGAACTCCCTACCCCAACCTGTCCAGCTGTCTCCTAATCTATCCCCCTTTAGACAATTTCTGAAAACCTTTCTCTTTAAAGAAGCCTATCCTGCTTCTAACGAGTAAACTGCCATTTATTTCCTCCATCAGCTCATCCCCCCCACAGCTATTACCTTTTGTATCACTCAACCCTTCCTCCTAGATTGTAAGCTCTAATGAGCAGGGCCCTCTGTTTCCTCTTGTACCAAATTGTATTGTAACCATCTACCTTTATTTTGTAAAGCACTGCGCAAACTGTTGGCGCTATATAATTCCTGTATAATAATAGGTAACAAGATGTGACTTGACATCAGAACCATTTGACATATCAAATAAATCATTAACAGGCATACTTTCCAAGTTTAGTGGTGATGTTTAACCACTTCCTGTCCAGACACTTTTACCCCCTTCCTGTCCAGGCCAATTTTCAGCTTTCAGCGCTATCACACTTTGAATGACAATTGCGCGGTCATGCAACACTGTACCCATATGAATATTTTACAATTTTTTTGAGACAGATAAAGCTTTATTTTGGTGGTATTTATTCACCGCTGGGATTTTTATTTTTTTTGCTATGTAAATGAAAAAGTCCAAAAATTTTGAATAAAGTGTTTTTCTTATAAAATTTTGCAAATAAATAATATTTCATCATAAATCTTGGCCAAAATTTATTCCGTTATCTTTTTAGTAAAAAAAAAATAAGCCAAATTAGTTTATAATCAAAAATTATAATTTTTTAAACTTTTTTTTACATTTTTATTTTATTTTTTTTTATTATTGTTTTTTTTTTACATACTGTCACCCTAGCAGTACAGTGTCACCATGGTGACACTGTACTACTTGTGGTGGGTGATGAAGATTTTTTATTTTTTTTACACTGACTGCTTTTACACCTATATAGGATGTAAAAGCAATCATTTTCTCTTTCTCTCTGTCTGTATTCTTGCAGCCATTGAGAATTACTGAGTGAGCTGTGATTGGTCACAGCTTGTCACATGGTACAAGGCTGTTGTGAATAGTCTTGTACCATGTGACCTCTGTGATCATTCACAGATTTCACACGTAGTAAGCAATGATGTCACAAGTGACATCTTGCTTACTACTTTGCATGTGATCACTGATTGGCCAATCAGTGATCACATGATCGGGACCTCGTACAGAGGTCCCGTCCAACGATCGGTGTTTCACTGTGTCTGGAGGACACAGCGGGCACCGGATCGCGGTGCTGTGCGCTCCCAGGGAGCGCGCACAAGCAGGGTGTGGGGAGGCCGTTTATAAACGGCCACCTGACTCTGCAGTGCCACAGTCCGGCCGTTTATATACAATGGCCGGACGGGAGGTGGTTAAATTGAGATTAAGCAGGATTATCTTTGTTTTCTATGAAATGACAAGTGTGAATGATAGAAGGAAATACCCCTATAGTATAATGGGAAGCAAAATATAAACTCGTTTGCAGAAAAATCTGAGAAACAGAGCATTTGAACCTTTCCCATAAGTGTTCCCCAAGTAGAGTAGCAGATTGTAAGAGTGAAATGATTTGGGACTAGTCTGTGGAATGACAGATGAGTGACACAAAGGAAAGTTGTAGAAAAAAAAAAGTTTCCTCTGCAAGGTAAAGTCACAATGTTCTAGTATGCATCACATACTAGCACATTATGAAAGACTTACTTTAAAACGAAGCCCTCCAGCAGTGCGCTGTCAACACTGACAGGGCTTCCATCTTCACCTGGTCTTCCTTCTGAATTCGTGGGCTCTGACTGGCCTAACCACGATGACATCACTCCCGCATGGGAGTCTTGTGCAGGGTTCACACACAGACACATTGTGGGACTCCAGAATGTCAGTTATGAGCGGAGATGGGTGACTTTTTCTTCTTTCTCCAGGTTTTTTAACTCCAGGATGAGAGTCCGGAGTCCTGAGTCTTCAAAGGGCCTTGGGTGGGAAGAAGTCTTTAACCCAATGTCTGGGTATTGTTAAAGACCAGCAGGGTGTATGTCTAGGCAAACACAGCCCTTATAATGAAGGCTTGGACAAAGCCCAGGGCTTCACCTGAAAGACAGGAGGTCTCTGCATAGGGGGTCAGGAGAAGTCAGGCTGCATGGGCAGCCAGAGCATGTATTTCTAAATGGTGTCGGAGCAGCAAGGAGCTGGAAATGAGTCAAGGTACAGAGTAAATGAAAAAGTCCAAAAAGTTTGAAAAAAAGTGTTTTTCTTATAAAATTTTGCAAATAAATAATATTTCATCATAAATCTTGGCCAAAATGTATTCTGTTATTTTTTTAGTAAAAAAAAATAACCCAAATTAGCTTTATAACCAAAAATTATAATTTTTAAACTTTTTTTGTACATTTTTTGTTTTTTTTTTTATATTTTTGGGGTTTTTTGTTTTTTTACATACTGTCACCCTAGCAGTACAGTGTCACCATGGTGACACTGTACTACTTGGGGGTGATGAATATTTTTTTTTTTTTTTTTACACTGATTGCTTTTACACCCATAAAGGCATTCTTGCAGCCATTGAGAACTACTGTGTGAGCTGTGATTGGTCACAGCTTGTCACATGGTACAAGGCTGTTGTGAATAGCCTTGTATCATGTGACCTCTGTGATCATTCACAGATTTCCCACGTAGTAAGCAATGATGTCAGAAGTGACATCTTGTTTACTACTCTGCATGTGATCACTGATTGGCCAATCAGTGATCAAATGATCCGGACCTCGCACAGAGGTCCCGTACGACGATCAGTGTTCCACTGTGTCCGGAGGACACAGCGAGCACTGTATCGCGGTGCTGCGTGCTCCCGGGGAGCGTGCACAAGCAGGGGGCAGGGAGGCCGTTTATAAATGGCTACTCGACCCTGCACTGCCACCGTCCGGCCGTTTATATACAACAGCCGGACGGGAGGTGGTTAAGGTAATCACAACTTGGGCTCCTCCACCTTCCAGCATGCAAGCTCACCTTAGGTTTGCGTCTGCAACTGGACGCAATGCGTAGGACGGAGGTGTGGGGATGGAACTTCCAGTTGCAGATGGCAGCCGGCATCTTGCTGCCCCCAGCCGTATGTATATTGGTGTAGCCAGGATAGCGGGAGGTGTGGCCAGGATAACGGAAGTTTACCTTTTCCTTTTATTTGAAAAGGTGAACTTGCCCCTTAAGGCCCCATTCACACCTGAGCATTTTGTAGCTCAAAGCTCCAAAACGCTCAGGGGGGAAAAAAAAATCAATATTACTCTATGGAGATGGTTCACATCTCCACTCCAAGGTGCCTGAAGCTCAAAATAGTTTTTCAATTACTTTTGTAGCTCAAATTGAGCAGACTTGCACATTTTTGGTACGTTTTTTTGTTTTCATAGAAAAGAATGGAAAATGTGTGTTTTGCACAGTTTTCTGCTCAAATGAAAATGTTTTTAAAAAGATAGTAATATATGAATTAATAAATGTGAACTAAATACGCATATAAATAAAAAAACATGATAAATATTAATTGACCCCTGACCTTAAAGTGGAGTTCCAGCCATTTCTGTGTTTATTAAAATCAGCAGCTTCAAAAACTGTAGTTGCTGACTTTTAATAAACACACACCTGTCCCAGAGTCCAGCGATGTTTTCATCCACGCTGTCCCTTCTCCCCTTCTCTCCTTCTCTCCTCCATGGCACCGGCATCTCAACTGTGGGCACCAGGCTGTGACAGCTTGCGGCTTCACAGCCTGGTGACTACTGCACATGTTTTGCACAGACCAGCCCGGATCCTCCTCTTCTCGGGTCACCCGCAGGCTCTCCTGGCCCCTTCAGCTTCCTATGGGGGCACCCGCTACTCTGTGTGTCCATTCACACACAGAGCTGCAGTTTGGCCCTGCCCCCTCTGTTGACTGGCTGTGATTGACAGCAGTGGGAGCCATTGCTGTCTCAGCCAATGAGGAGGCAGAGACCCAAGGCTCTCATTCACATCGCTGGATTGCGATGAGACTCAGCTAACTATTGAGGGGGCTGGGTGAGATGCTGCACACATAATATTTTTTTACCTTCATGCATAGCATGCAGCCTTTACAACCACTAAAGAAATAATAAAAAAAATTAACAATAATAATAATAAACACCTGAACAAAAAAAATACAATAATTATATAAAAAATTTAAAATATATTATTTTATAACTTAAGCTTAGGGGGTTAATTAGTATTTAGTATTTATGATTATTTTTATTTACTTGTGTATTTATTTTACATTTATTTATTCATTTATTATTATTATTATCCTCATCACCCTAACAAATACATTAATATAATATTTAATAAATGAATAATAATAAAATAATAAATAAATAAAAGCTGATGGAAAAACTGAAGCAGAAAAACCTAGCAACAAATAATATTTTTCTCCAGTGGCTAATAGAAAAACTGCCAAAGCTCAAAATAGCTAAAAACGTGCAAAAATTGCGGTGAAATATGCATGGAAAACCGCTACGCTGTGATATGAATGGAGCCTTACATGTATTTTAATGCGTTTCCATTGATTTTAGTAGAAAACAGATTTTATTTTTTAAAAAAACGTGATGGTGTGAACTTAGCCTTACAGCCCCTAAAGACTGCTGCTTGACATAACTGCACACGTGCATTAAAGGAGAAGTGTAGCCAAAGCTGAGAGCCTGAGCAAGCCGCCTCCACAGCCCAGCACTCAAGTGTGAAGACACCAGCTATCTGTTCACAGAGCACTCAGAACTTTGATCGCTCAGTTCTCTGGGTCAGAGATGGTGGGGCACAGATGCTGCATCCACCTAGATAAGTATGATTTCTAAAGAAAAAAAAAAAAACTTTTAACATTTTCCTGCCCTGCTTATAGGAGATTGACGGCCAGGCGGGACACTCCTCCTTGTGACTGGGCGTCATATGACATCCTGTCAGAAGCATCTGTGCGATCTGTCACTGGCTGTGTCCACGGGACACAGCCAATGACATATCACTACACCGGCCCATTGCCAGTGTCTTATGACCGCTGTGACCAATCACAGCAGATCTCGTCAATTGTATACAATGGATGGCTTCCTGTCATGCCATCCATTGTATACAATTGTGCTGTGATTGGTCAAAGCAGTCACATGGTACAGACAGGGCCAATGGTACAGACAGGGCCAATAGAAAAATTTGAAAAAATTTTTTTTTTTTTTTTTTTTTTTTTTTTTTACATATTGTCACCAGTCAGTGTCCCTGATCACCACCACACCAGTTATATAATAATGCTGTACTGGACTGGTGACAATATGTAAAAAAAAAAATAAAAAAATTGTGTTTATCTTTGTATGTTTGTTTTGTTTTTTTTTTTTTATTTCTACATTTTCCAAAAATTGTAACAAAAAATTACAACCTCCAAAAACCTCACAATGCCTCTTACTAAGTACCTTGGACTGTCTGTTTTCCAAAAATGGGTAATTTGGGGGGTAGTTGTACTATCCTGGCATTTTCGTGCCTCCAGAAATAAGATGGACCGTCAGTATATCAGGATTGATCGATTGTCAGATGGCTTGTGGGCTCTGTAACTTTCCTACAGGCTAAAAATAATATACACTAATTTGGGTTTTCACCAAAGAAATGTAGCAGAATACATTTTGACCTAAATTTATGAAGAAATATTTATTTGCAAATTGCATTTTGGGGGGGGGGGGGGGTTTCAAAGGTTTCTGGGTTTTCTTGTTTATTTAGCAAATAATAAAAAACTCAGTGGTCGTTAAATACCACCAAAAGAAAGCTCTATTTGTGTGGAAAAAAATTGTACAAATTTTTTTTATGGGTACAGTGTTGCATGACCACACAATTGTCATTCAAAATTTGAAAACACTGAAAGCTGGAAATTGGCTTGGGGACTTGGGGTAAAAGTGCCCAGTATTGAAGTGGTTTTAAAGCAGACCATCAATTTTTGAAGGCCCCTTCACACTTGTGCGTGTTTATTTGTGTGCATTGAAGCCCACTGCTTTAAAGGTAAGTCAGTTCATTTGGGCTAGCAGTGCACTTCAATAACTGTATCCACACAATTCTCAGCAATGCAGCACACCACTGTGTATGGTATGCATGTCGTGGTGGATTGGTAGCTACTATACATGTGGATGGGTTGCAATTTCTAAATGAATGGCACTGTAATGCACATATTACCACACATTCCAGTCAAATGCTTTCTCACAGTCAGCCTGTATGGACTGCCAACATATTGCAATGTATATTTGAACAAGCATGCACCATCTTTTTTTTTTTTTTTTGCACAGTGCAGTACAACCCACAGATGGTTCACGTACCTTAAAGGCTAGGTTTACGTTTTCAAACATGCTATGCTACACCTGTTTTTTAAGGTGTAACATGCTCAGCATGCTATCCTCGATCAGCATGCTATCCTCTATCCCTGCCCCCCATCCCTCATCCGCTGTCATAGTTTAAAAACAGCTTGGCCGTGTAGGGCCATGCTCTGCCCACATGGCCACATCATTCATTCGGTTTCCCGGCTTGTAGTTCTCAATGATGTACGAGAGGGCGCTGATGAGTGCTCTCGTAGGTCACTTACCTTTCTACTGTCAAGTGACTGACTGCTGGTGTCAGAGGTACAGGCAAACAGCTATCCTAAGAAACTAAGTTTTAAAAAAAAAAACAGCTATCCTGAGAGCCTGCAGGAGCCTAGCATTGCACCCGTAATCTGCTGATTACGAATCCAATGCTCTGCAGGCTGCTTTAAAATAAATAAATAAATGCACATATTCTTTACCTGCAAAAAAGTGCAATTATTATTATTTATTTATTTTTGAAAAAGTGAACTTTTAATAGATTTTTTTTGTAGATAGTGTTGGTTTTATCATAGACATTTACAAGGGTGTGGTTTTTTGTTTTTTTTTGTTAAATGTGTGTTTTGAAACAGTATAATGTTAAGAACGTTACTTACTTCTTTTTGCCCTTAGAATCTTCCATACCAGTTTTGATTGGTTTTTCTATGGTTCATTTAATTTTTGTTATGGTGTGCTGTAACAAAACATGCTTTGTTCTGGGAATTACCACAGATTACAGGAAGAATTGTATGGGAAAGTTACAGGATACAAAAACATTTACCTGCAGAGCTCTTCGGCAAAAATTTACTTTTTCTGAAAGTCCATGTAGTACAATTGTAGGCATTTTCCCTGTCCCCATATGAGAAACATTCAGTCTTGGTGTGTGAGTGGCCACTCAGAAATTGCATGCTATGTTGTGGTAGGACAAAGGGAAATGTGCAGGCTTACCCCATATTAAGGGATTGAAATGCAAGCAGGGCACAGAAGGGTGTCCACTGCACAGCAATGTGTTTTCTTTTTTTTTTTCGTCTTTACAGATATACATTAAACAAATGTCATGTTTAATGGAAATTATGTCAAACGAGGGTTTCACTTTCATCTTACAACCTGGATAAAAGTTTGTTTCAGGATAATGGTTGTGGTGCTGTCATAAAAAATTGACAATCTAATTTATTTTTTTTCATTTGCAGGTTTCTCAAATTGTAGGGATGCCACCGGAAAAACTGATCCCACACATTCATGCAATTCAAGTTTACAGAAAACAGTAAGACATTTTTTCTTCCTTGTACCTGGATTATCTTTCTCTTGACTAGAACTTAGTGTATTTGTCTACCCTTTTATGCACTCTGTATACCGTAGCTAATTTTGTAATAATGTATTTAAAAATGTATACATGCTGTCTGTGACTTGTTCTTAATCATGAATGCTAAACTTTTTATCTTATGTTGAAAGTATTGAAATGTATGTTAAAGCAAATGTCTTGCTTTAAAAAAAATTTTAAATGTTTTTTTGGAGCCATCCTTTCTTCTGACACTTTTGGGTATGTCATATGACTGCATCTCCGTGCTGA